TCAGCAGCAGCTTTTTTATTCAAGCTGTTCCACTATGGCCAGTTTTTCTAGTTTGATATGTTAGTGACATTCATGCTGTTTCATGTCACCGGTTTCATTTTAACAACACTAAGTTTTCTGTCAGTCACAGTGTTGTTAACTAACTGTTGAAATATCAACCAGCAAATCTAAACCACAGAGTAGTTTTCTGCCTCCACAAACAACTTGAATGGCAGAATAAAGGACTACTATTAGTGCATGACAGTGGACACACACCCCTTCATGGCGGTGGAAGAGTGACTGACAGATCGCCTAGCTGGGTCTCCAGAGATGGAGCTGTCTGAAGAGAGATGCTGGGTCACACGTGTGCTGTCGTGCTTGTTTTCAAACGGGGGAAAAGCAGCAGTCAGACGGGCTGCACTGAGATGGAGATGTAGTAAAGTGAATGCTGTTTACTGTGCATGTTGGATCCATCTGTCAGCATTATGTAAACAGGTTAGTCATGGAAGCCTGTTATACTTGTCACACACACACTGGGTGAAAAAGAAAGCATGCATGAACACATAAGAACGCATATAGTTTATGTGAATATGCTCACACTTACAGATTCACACATACACACACACAAACACACACACACACACACAGCTGTAAGAAACTGGTGACATGAGTCAAAGTGTCAGCTCATGAAGCATAGTTAAAGAAGGCTTAGTGTGTGCTGAGGAGAATGTAGCACAGTTACATAACCACAGCTGGTCAGCCTGGCAGAGGTTGAGACCCAAGGACAGATTCTGTCCTGTTTGTATTGTCACACACTTAAATGAAACAAATATGAGGCCAGGAAAGTTACATGATGCTACTGTAGCTATGGGAAGGTTTGCTCTAACTTCTATTCTGTCCAAGGCAACAAAAGTCAAGTTCAGCTCAGACAGTACATAAGTGGCATGTTGACAAAACCTTTTCCCTGATTTTGACTCCCCGAACCAACGCCAACACCCCGGAAAGTCATTCAAATGCCACGTTGTAATGGCACAGCAACCAAATTCAGTCAAAAATCATTGTAATATATATGACTTTAATGCTAAAGTGTCAAATCCAAACCAGAGTATTTGAACAAGGAAATTCCCCAAAATGTGGTTTGAATAATAATAATAAATTATTACTTCAAAATATACAGTTGCGGCAGGTATTTAAACAAATATCTGGTTAATCACATAGCTAATGCAATGCCATCAATACAAACTGCATGCAAGTCTGATTATGACCAGTAGAGGTCAAACTAATATCATGGGAACATGCTCTTTGCTTTGCAGTCAGTGAAAAATGGCTGATGGGTAAAGAAAATAGAATAGTATTTGACAGCAGATTATTAAATCAACAGTTATTTCATTCTTTTTATGAGATAACAACTCATCTGCAGGTACAAATCAGTGTAATGTTGTGCCTGGGGTTTAATGCCATATTGCCTGACATTTACTACTTGTGTCAGTTTTTACTGTATCTGCTTTTCATTTGGTGGTTGGCAGTCCTATCGCACGACAGGTAAATATAACCACAAAGTAAAATCAACTGTGGAAGATGACTGGACTTGTTTCCCTTGTATTAAATTTTACAAGTCAGCGGCTTCCAGAGATTGGCAGACATGGAGAATGACTGGCATCAGAAACACCATGTGTTTTGTGGTTGGCGCCTTATAAGCAAACCCATGTTCTCCTAGACCAAGTAACATCTGGCAATAAAGTAATAGCTCCTCAGTGTATAAGAGAAGCATTTTCATTTTTTTCTGATCTCATGAGATAACCAATTTTTGCATTGGATTAAAAAGACCACAACATTTTTGATAAAAAAAATAATTTTTAAGCACAATACTGCACAATTATACAAGTGAAATGAATGTTTTTGTGTTTTTATTGTGTGTCTGGTTTGCTGCTCAGCGGAGACGGACAACTCTCAGTTGGTGCTGGATAACAGTTCTGCCCAGAACCTGAAACTACGGGAGAGACAGCGCTTTTTTGAAGAGGTCTACCAGCATGACACGGACAACTACCTGCCTTCTACTCACTTACAGGTCAACTGCAGGAAACGTGAGTCAGTCTGTTCTTCCATGGAACTGTGTCCTGGAAGCATTGCTTGCTTACATAATCAAATGAGAAGTGGGTGTGAAATGTTACTAATGATAGGTGACTGGTTCGTGCTCTGAGAGAACAATATAAGATTCAACTATTTACATATTTTTAATAGATTCAATGTTTAGAAACATAATTTAATAGATCAAAACATTAACAAAACCTTGACTCACAAACTAATTTCTGTGTCAAGATTGAAATGATACAATACAGTATGTATCGCTTGTGGTGTATACACTGTGTATTGACATTATATATGATGTTCTGCTTGTATATTCAGCCCCTATGGGCAGTATCTCCTCTATGGAGGTGAATGTGGATGTCCTGGAGCAAATGGATTTGATGGACATATCTGACCAGGAGGCTCTTGACGTGTTTCTCAACTCAGGCTCTAGTGCAGACGAGGGTGTGCTGGCATCTCCGCTACCAGGTGCACTGATTACTTCTACGCCACAAACAATTTAGGCCCACTGTCTTTTAAACGTGGAGTTATAGTTTATTGCTGAGATACTATATCCACAAAAATATTTTGACCATAAGTTAAAATAACCAAGTCCATAATTTATTTATGTTTGCCATTATCCACTGATGTGCACAATGATAACCTCCTCTACTCAGTTGTATTCATATGCCCTCTCTCAAAGTCTCAGAGTTGTGTGTTCTGCAAACAAAATATCTCTCTTGCTCTCTCAACATCTTTGCTTTGTGTCAACTTAGGTTTGGTTGTGTGTTTATTTAGATAATAACAAACACACACACAAAATGCATTTAGGACATGATGCCCTATGGCGTGCTCGGGAATCAGGCCCAAATATAATACTATTAAAGAATAAATGAAAGTTGTGCTTGCATGGTGAGCTCTACCGTAGCAGAACCACGTCATGGAAAAAAGACAACACTGAATCTAAGCAAGATTTCCTCTCAGGTTTTACCAGGAGTCAGGGGAGTGATACGACTGGTTCTGGTGATTCACATGCTCAGTTTTCAGGAACATATATTTTAGATTTCCAACTGTGGCTTAATGCACCATTACATCCTGCGTTGATGTAAAAATACAGGTGAACCGCAGGTTCAAAATGTATTTGTTTTGTTTGTCAAAACTCCAAATCAACACATAACTCCAACTTCATCTAAAACTCAGTTTCTGCAGACTTTCACTTGAATAGTCATTTTCCAGACAACCTGATATGTATTTCCATGCAGAAATTAGAGTTGGAAATGTTGTATGGCCCTCATATATACATTTGATGTATGGGAAAGATTAAATAATGCAGGTGTATCCAAATGAAATTACTAAAACTGGTTGAACTGACAAGTTTTAACAGCTTCTATTTACAGAGGGTGAGAACAAAGATGAAGAAGCAGAGGGTGAAGAGTTTGTCTACAGGGAGCGTGCACCTTTGAAACGGCAAAATGAAGTTTGCTGCAGCTCAAAGTCTCGCATGTCCTCTACATCATCTGGTTCGAGTGATACCAGTGTGGGTGGAATCGACACACCTGTAATTCAGTCAGACGATGAAGAGGTCCATGCCGACACCCTGCTGCTGACCTCTGTTCCCCAAACCAGGGATGAAGACACAGAGGAGGAAGATGAGGAGCAAAGATGCTTTGGAACTAAATCATCATAAAGACTGAGATTTACTCTGTATAAAGATAAACAGAGAAGGTAAAAGAGTGTGAGATCTCGCTCTCTCCGTCTCCCTACATTTGCATTCTTTTCTTTGGGGGAAAACCCTTGCATGGTTGACCTGGCTGTCATTTGCTGTCTCCTGAATGTAAAAAAAAAAAAAAAAAATCTACTCTATTTTTATTAGGTACTGATAAATGCCCAGTGTTCATTGAAATTCTTGGCAAAGGTGTTTTCTCACCCCCATGCACTAGCATGTTTTGGCTGAGATTAAACAACTGTTAGTTCAGGTTTTGTTCCTCTTACTGCCAGAGGGAAGCCTTCCTCCTGACAATCTAATGTCTTGAAAGCACAGGTGTTCAACAGCCATGTGAACCAGGAAGGCTGCAGTGCATCTTTATTAACAGACTTTTCCAGAGAGCTACTGTAAAATGGCAGACAGTCACATCCACTGTAGCGAGCTAAAGCATTTAGTTTATTGTTGCCTGATCCACTTTTCCCGTGCAAAGATACAGCTAAGTGCAGGACTCATGCATGTTCTTCTTGTATTTTGCTTGAGATCAACATGAGGCAGAAATGATGCACTGTGATCAGAACCCAACAGAAAGTTTCATTTCTCTGACAACTTGTCACGTGCATGTGCAAAATATTCACAGTATCATGTAAATGTGTTTGCAAAAGCATGCCATTTTGTTCTTGTTAGTGCCTACTTTATGTTTTCACTCCTGTTACTACACTTTGCATTACTGATCTATGCAGGCAATACCTGTACTTAATAACCAAGTTAATTACTATGTTCCTTGTCTCCGTGTGAGATGTGATTGGAGAATTGGATGCAGACTATAGGATCACAGGAGGAATGAATGATTCAGCCGACCAAGATTTGTTTGTTTATGTGTCCGCTCATAAGTATATGTGAGAATATTGGTACGTGGGTGTGTGAATGGTTAACATTAAGAAGTAACAGGTATTCCACCTATAGCTACTTTCAAAATAACCTTTTTTCAGTGTTAATCATGATGTGTATCTCCTCTCTATTTGAATATCTTGCTATGAACAAAATAAAAGTGAAGCAAAAGGTAAATCTGTCTGTGTTGTTTGCCTTTTACTACCTGACAGTGGAATCACCTTAGGAAGGGATCTATCTGGGGCCTGTACAACCATGACGAGTAAAACAGCATCGTAATCCTGACCTGACTGTTATAACCTCCGCTCACAATGTGTATGTACTGTGTGTCATATTCTGTGCTTTCCCCCGTGTGCGTTATGAGTGTTTCTGTATATGTGTAAACTCTCAGTAAATGGGACACGTGTGATTTGAGTGTGTGAGCCTGGTCCTCCCATGTCCTTTGTGTCAGATGGCGTAGTTATAAATAGTGTAAAATCTGGGTACTGTGCTAAAGTAATAGTTGTAGTAGGGGTGGGGTTAGCCTTTCTATGTGAGTATCTTTTTCCCCTAGGAGCTTAGGAGCTTAAGAGCTTTTTGTTTTTTTAGGGGGGGTAAGATTTGGGGTTATTGTTTAGCTGGCCTGTTTGTTTTTTAGCTGGAGCCACCTCAAAGTTCATTCTATTAACTATTGATCAGTTTTTCATGTGAATATTTTGTTAATAAAACCTCACTAAAGGGTTAAAATTGCAGGTTGCACCTGGGAAACAGACTGGGGTGTAACTCTGACAGCTGTTTGAAGACAGAGTTGAAGAGAGCTGTTAACCTATTCATTATAGCTGACGGGTGACAATCTGAGTCCGTATCTCATATATTAAAAGTTATTTTTGAAGCCCAACTTTGCTGTGTTCACTGTGTAAGGGACAAAAGAATTTCCCCACAGGGAAAATGTGAATGCCATATTACAAGAACAAACAGAGCCGACACATACTGGCTACTGTTCCTCTCCCCCTCTCTCTCCTGAGTATTAATCCTTCTAGTTCTACTAGTTTTACAAGTTTACCTGTAGTTTACGCTCAGTTGTCTTCAGCCACATTTTTACATGTTACAGTGGCTGGTTTATTTGCCATTGATCATGGCAAGATGGGATGCCTGTGGTGATCTGCTGATAGGTTACGCATGCTGGACTGTGCCCTGCATGGTTTGTTTTTGTCATCCACTCACATTTGTGTCAAGTGCTTTTCTTTCTTCTTCCTCTTGGCTAAGCCCTTGCACATATAGTGACATAATCACAGACCAGTGACTTCATGCAGGCATGGAACTGAGTATTTCTACGTTTTGACTGGCAGACACTGTGATTTTAACTTGATAGACTCTATAAAAACTCCCCAACAGAGTGGAGAACGCAGGGAGACACAGAAAGCATGTTATACAATCACCTTCAGTGATATTATCCATTGGCCTTCATCACCGAATTACACATGGCTCATAAATTCCCCCTACTCAGACAGTACCTGACAGGGTAGTATTATGTGCTGAAACCTTACACTTTGAGCTGTACTTACTGATTGCAGATTTACTTGATTATTTATGGGTTCCACTTATACTGAAAACAATTACAGGTGGCTGTGGTGGGATCTGTGTCAAGTGCCTTTGTCTAAATTATATATAGTATTTGAATGTATTACAGTAAAATCCTCCCTATGCTTGACATCATTTTTGTTTCCTGACACCCAAATCTTAGCAAAGCTTACATGACTGCAGTAAGTTCATTCCATCCCACCTCAACCCGTCTCTGAACTTCAGAGATTTTCAAATCCAGGCATGTTTTCTCCCTCAGGTCAATCTGTTGATAAGTTCCCAAGGTTTAATGGAAGGTCATACTGAATCATTTTAAATTTCTCCTTGCCCAAATTTTCATATTATCAAACACTTTGCCTCTGACTATGTGTCCGACCTTGATACAACCTTTTAATAAGATCGGGCCTTAATATCTACTGGGACTTTACTTACTGTATATGGTACCTCCAACGTCTGGCATACTCTTTACAAGATTAAAAGGTACATTTAATCTTTTAATCAAATACTATTTAAAAAAATAAAATAAAATAAACACACCCGTATATGCAAGTCAAGAGTTTCTAAAAGCAAAGTCAACAGTAGTTGACAGACTTAATCCCTTCATTCCAGTTCTACCACCTTGCCACCCCTCATCTTTTATCCATACTGTAGGTATTGCCTCACTAACTCCTTCTCTTTTTCACTGAGGCCATCAAGGTTGAAACTGAGGCTGTAACCTGCTTGACAAAACAGTTCTCTTAGGTTGCATTCAAACTGAGTTTTAAAGGTGTGAAAAATGAGAATGCAGCCCTCTCCATTCATTTCTGGGGGATTGCGTTCACTGCAGCTGGCACCAGCACCGCAGGGGCCACCGGCAAAATGATATAGCTCCTTGCAGCGAAATATTTGTATCGGGTTACACTTTTGCTGTACTGGATGTTGACATTATCGGGAAAAGGTGCTGTGTTGACCGGCCACGTAGGCTCCAGGGGAGAGAAGGCTGTTTTTTTAACATGTTACCATGAGCATTCCCTTATATTCACTCTCAAATTTGGGGCATAGATACCGCCGCTCATGTCAATTCATCACAACATGACCTTACAGTATTGTAATTCTGTCTGAACGCCTGCTTGTTCCCAGGATCCTAACTTATAGTAACAGTCCAGTGAAACTGCACAAGTTTGAATACATAGAAAATAATGCCGAAAGAACCATCAAGAGCTACATGATAAGCTTTTGCCTGTCATCTACACAGGCCCAGGTGTTAGATCTGTCTGAATGCTTGAAAAAAAGAAATAATCTTAAGGTGACCTAAGGCTAAAACAGTGGGGAGGAGCTTTCCTGTTGACTTTCCTGCCAAGATTTATTTCAGTCTCTTCACAATAGCTATTGGGTTGAAATAAAAAAAAAATTGTATTACATTAAACCAGAACAATGTCCATTCAAGAAACTGACTGGCAAAACAGGTTTTGTGAGGTGAATCAAATTAGACATTATTCACCTTTAATATTAAAATACAGTCATTATTTTTTATGCTTAAATATACTGTATGTGTGTGTGTGTGTGTGTTTGTGTGTATTAAAATATAATATCTTGGATATTTGGTGACTGAGATGGTGCTTGTTAAACTATTAAATGTGCATTGGAAATATCTAGATATTTAACATCTGCCAGCCATAAGATGGAAGAATGAAATCCTTTCACATGAGAGACCGGGCTGTGTGGACTGTTTGTGTGCTCCCATGTTCATGTGTTTCCTCTGTGGGCTGTGGTTTCTCAATGCTCAGCCATGTTAAGATATGCACTGTGTTCTCACTGCACAATTTTATCTTCTCTTCATTGGCTTCTGGTTCATTGTTTTTATCTTACTGATAATAGTTTTTAAAGCACTGCATAACCTTGCTCCCTTTTATCCGAGCTCCTCTATACTTAAGCCAGATCTCTTAGATCTGTACATCAGCACCTGCTGACTGTACTCAGACTACTCTAGACTACAGTGTTGGGGTGATAGAGCCTTTGCGGTAGCTGCCCCTAATCGATTTACCACTTGCAGTCAGAACTGCAGCTAACCTGACTTCATTCCATACATTGTTGAAAATGCACTTTTTCTTGCAGGCTTTTAATTCTGGTATAGTTTGAGGTATGCTGACTATTTTTGTGATGGTGCTTTTATAATTTTTTATGTGATTGTGTTTTTATTATTTTATACTATTTCACATTATATATTTTTTGTTTTGGTTTTGTTTTTTATAATTTTGTGAAGCACTTTGTAATAGTCTTGTTTAGAAAAGTGTTATATAAATAAAATTCTCTTGCTTGCCCGTTACCTACTGACCCCTTGTTTAGTTTCTACATGTCAAGTGTTCTGATTGATTGCTTTGGTTGTTAAAAATGACTCTTCTTTTATCAATTTGGAAACAGCAACGTACCACCTATTCATTCACGTTCTGTATGTCTGAGACTTTACCCAGACACCAACATCACTGTAAGCAATATGCTTCTTTGGCACACTAGATGGGCACAAATAAAGAGATGTAATTAAAACAAATTCTCCAGTGAAATAGAAAGAACCAGATATGTTTCCCTGCCTATTTTAATATCCCATTTATCAGTGAAAGAAAATAGACTATAAAACAAGAAGACTGGGCACAGTAAAGTTGACTATTCACTGCTTTTAGTAAGAAAATGTATCTCATGATTGCCATTATTTCAAAATCACACCTTAATTCATTGCTGTTAAAATACACAGCTCACGAGAAATAAGACACATAAAATACAGTACATATATAATACAAAGAGGTGAGGCTCCACAACCTAACAATTTCTATTGCCTTTGGCGAGCTGGACGCATCATGCTCTCATTAGAGAATTCAATAATCACTGCGTAATGTAATCCTTTGGCTATTTAAGTGATGTGTTATGGACACAGCAAAAATGCAGACAACTCTAGGGCCAAACATACACATACCAAACCTTGGTATGTGTATGTTTACTAAACATCTGAATGTGTTAAGGTTGAGTCCCCCGCACCAGGGGGTGAGGGAGAACAAATGGGAGGACTCAAGATGCAAACCCAGGTGCTAGTGAAAAAAGGTGGTTTAATGGAGAACACGCAAACAAAGTAACTGAGTCAATGTATAGTACAATAACCGGGGTAGGGCAGTGATGGCTGAGGAGACCAGGACGAGCAGATGAGTAGACAGAAAAGCATGGGACCAGGAGAGTCAGAGGACCAGGACGGACAGGTGAGTAGACAGGACGCTATCAAGGAAGCAGAGTAGTGAACGAAAAAAGAAATCAACAACACAGCTAGTGACGACGGAGCATGTGCCGTAGCTCATAAAGCAATTGTTTCGAACCACTGTGCTGAGGCGTGTTTCGGTCACGTGACTAGTGACGTTTGAATCACTTGAGTGACGTCCGAAGCAGTTGGGTGCGTCGAACGTCAGGTGAATCAGCTAATTGGTTCGGTTTGCCATGTGAATCACTTTGGATCAAGTGTGTTCAGAGATAGGATATCCCTATTTAGTGGCGTTCATTTGAACCTGTCTTTGCAGAGCAGGTTGGTTTGTTGCTTTGAGAGTTAGTAGTGTTGTAGCAGATAGAATCACTCTAGATACAGAGATAGATCAATAGATAGATAGATAGTAAGTTAGAAAGAAATAGATAAAGTAGTTACATAGTTAAATAACACTATAGTTACATAGATGGTCGTAAATAACGTTAGATATAGATAAGATATAGATAGATATAGATATATTGCATATATAGTTACCCAAACCTCTATGAATTATCCAAGCATTTCCTGTGTACCCCAGCCTCATCTGTGCCATATGAACGGGTTTTTTCCAAGGCTGGGGAAATAGTCTGTAAAAGGAGAAACCGCTTGTGTCTGAAAACTGTGGATATACTGTTATTTCTCAATAAAAACTCATAAACACTTACACAAACACACCCTCTTTACCTACATACCCATGAACCTTTTTACCAATGAACCCCAAAACAAACTTTGCCAAAGGCCATACTATAATCTGTATTTGCACAAGTCCCATGTGAAAATGACATTTGTCTGAATTTGTAGAGCACATCTCATGAATGTAGCAGCACCATTTAAATGTTTTCATAACACAAAATACGTAACTGAGGAGTATATAGGGTTACAATCACACGTGCCACATAAGAAACATGGTCTTCAACATGTGTCCATGTTTATTTTATATTTTATTGTGTCAGCTTGAAACCATACAACCAGTGTAGTGGAACAGGAATGTGCATGGTGAAACAAATCCCAAACAATCCATGAACCAATAAGCGACACGTATTGACTGCACTTCAATTTCTTGACCACTAGATGTCCTCGAGTAATGAACCATTTGTGTGAAGACTGTGTGGAAGCTTCAACAAAGCCTCATTGGCCATCACTAATCACAGGAACTGTCAGCGTGGAAATCAAGAGATGTATGACACAAATACATATGTGTCATTAATGCTCCGGCCACGACGGAGCATCTGCCAGAGGTTTAATTTGTGTGACCTTGGTGTATGATGGGTTTAAAATGTCATTTCAGTGACTTTGACTTTAACAAAATACTTTAAAGATCTGTGAATTTGAGCTGGGTTTGCATGCCATGTGAGGCAGACATAAATAAGCCATGGTAACCTGAGCTATAGAGGTGTAGAGGTGTACACCTGAGCCGAGCCATGTTTCCCCACACACCCAGAAAGTCCAAATAAAATTTCACATTATCATATCAAGTAAAATACTCTTTCAAAAAATCAATTAAATACGGAAGCAAATACATAAGTAAGTATAGAAAGGGGAACGGATATTATCCTTTACACAACTATGTGCACCACGCAACATCTAACCTATCACATTGCACATAACTGTGCACATGAACAAACTGCTCTTTGTTAACTCCGAACTCAGCTATTCTGTTGCCTGCAGGCACTGTGGGCTGTCGTCCATGCACACTTGTTCAACCTGCGTCTAACCTGTCGGGAGCACTTCTAGCGAGGATACCAAGCAAAGTGGACCAAGATGAGGACAGTTTCCCTGCTTCTGTTGGTAGGCATGATATTTTAAATAATCTCTGGCCTTTCTAAGGCACAAAGAAACAAACATTAGATTAACCCTGATCGTGAAAAACAAAGTGAATATTTGAGTTATTTTTATTACAATCCATTTGTGCTGACAAAGTAACTTGTGATTCATTGCAAACTTGGAAATAATAGCACAAAACATCTAAATGCATCTAGCTGCTGCTGTTGTCTTGGTTGAAAGGTCTGCAGGCAAATGCATATAGGTACATTATGCTATGGAAAAATAGGTTGCTGACACAGTAACACGAGAGTCGAGCCTTACAAAGCAGCAGTGTACAATATCAGCTTCATAAACTTAGACAAATATTTTTGACAGAATTATTGGCTTGGGTCAAAAGATGCCTGTCTTCTTGTTGTTATAATAATTTGAAAGTGTACTTACTTTTCAAGACATATTTATATTTATTTCAATACATATATTTTTAGTTATTTTTCTTTTTAAATAAAAGTCAGGTTTGCACAACTTTCTGTGCAATTACAGAATTTATTTCATTCCTAAAAAATACATTCATTGTCATAAATAAATGTGGGTCTCAAAGGTATTTGTTAATACAAACTCCTTTTAGTGAAAAGCGGGCTGCCACGTAAGCATCAAAGAAACGCCATGTTGGTGATGACAAGCCTCGTTGAAAACCTACAAATCTCTTTCCACATACAGTATTTGATGTTTTTCACTGATTCAAATAAAGAAAAACTCCATGGCGTTCAGTGTGATCACTGGGTTAAATGATGTTTCACTTGTAAATGTGATGATTTAAAATATCTGTCTGAAACATGATGTACTGTATGTCTGTCAGATGATTACTAGATTTTATTCAGAAGCAGGTGAAACCCGTGCCCGTGGCGTGGGAGTTCAACTACCTCTCTGGTTTGGGTCTGACAGGGGAGCTTTGTTGTGTGCTGTTCTCGGTCTCTGCCCTTTCCCTAATAACATTATTTGGAAGGTTTAGGCCACAGAGTTTGGTTTGAAGATGGCTATTAGATACTTTTATATTAATATAGAAAATAAAGCCGTTTATGAAATCACCACATCAGTAAAAGGACGTTGCGAACATTGGGCTGCTCTCTGGTGCAGGGGTTAAGACCCTACACCACAAAATACCCACAAAATTTAAAAAATACTAAGTGTACTGTCTCATATGCTCTACTATTCATAGTTTTGTTTGATGCTTCTCCATAATAATTGTCATAACCAAGGTTTGTCCGTAAAGCTGATTTCATAATGATCTTGTTAAAACTGCAAATTGGCATTATTGTCTCAGTGCTGCTAATTACTGTACTGTGATGTACTCTCCTCAACATACTCCTGTTCAAAGGTAAATAAAGACAAACTGGTTCATTGTCTTGATTTTCTAAATGAAATACATGAACATAGATATTTACTTAATTAACCACAAGTGTTGACAGTGTGTGGGAGTGTTTTTTTTATGTACTATGGTTTTTCCTCCTACACACATGCTGGTTTACAGTTGTGCAAAAACCAAGTTACCCATATTTGTGAAGGCATTTCTATGTGTGTTTGCACCGTAACTGGCTGTGAACTCCAACTCTTCCCTGAATAGTAACTGAGAACTGAATAGCAGACGTATCACCATTTGTCATCACAGGAGCAAAATTAAAAATGAAGGAGCTGGAGGGACAGTGAGAGAGACAAACGGGTAAAAAGTGAGATCGCAGCAGTGAATTAGAATCAGTTTTAATCATTCAGGTGTGCATACACACTAGGAATTGGTTTTAGCTTAAACAGTGGACATTACTCTCACATGCTATAATAGAATTAGAAGAAATAAAGATTAGGAATAGAGGAAAAAAGCAGAGTTCCTCATACAGCGGGATAGCATGGAAGGGTCTGAGAAGAGACTAAACCTTAAACCCTAAAAATAGTCTGTGATGACAAAAATGAGTGTTTTGATTGAGTTTTCCTGGTGTTGTAGGTGGCATTTATATCCTTGGCTGAGTCTCATGGTGAGGGCCACAAGAAGCGTGCCAAGCGGGTAACTCTTTCATAATGGAATTGCAAATTCTCACAAAAATGTTTCACTTCAAGCAAAACACTAACTGTATATTTGGTGTACAGGAGCTTCTGGCACGTTCCAAAAGAAGGTGGGTTTTGTCTACAATTGAAGTAGTAGAGGAAGATCCTGGGCCGTACCCGAAAATAATCTCACAGGTGATGATGTTGTACTGTAAATGAAACTACCAGTCAGTGTGGCAGCTCAGTATCGTGACCTGGTCAAGCACACAGACAATAACATGCTCAAATGTGCTTGTGTTCTGACTCTAGATGCATAACGACCAGGCTAGAGAGAATGGCCACAAATTCCGTTTAAGTGGAATGGGTGTCACTGAGAATCCACTAGGAGTGTTCGCCATTGATGAAGATACCGGAACCGTCTATGCTCTTAAACCCATTGACAGGGAAGAATGCGACCTCTTCCATGTGGGCTTACAGGATTAGTAATAATCTGATAACAAATCCACTTTATATTCATTTTTAACCATCAGAAATTATCTTACATAAGTACCTTTACCCACAGATCAAGTTTGATATCTTGGACAAACAGACCGGTAGAAATATAGACAGGGACCTAGCTATTGATGTAGAAATAAAGGACATCAACGACAACGCACCTACATTTTCCTACCCTCGAATGAATGCCAGTGTAAAGGAAAACACACCAGAGGGTGAGTATACAGTTGAATAAGAGTATGCATATTTTGTAATCAAAATATCACATTAAAAATTAAAACAGTTAAAAGTGATAAGGCTGATACGGAGTTCACATGAAGTGGAGAGGGACCAGAATATCATTTTTTATTCTCTCTTATAGCTATACTGTCTAGTTTTTCTTCCATTCCCATGCTTCCCACCTTTCTAGAACCCATTCACTCTCCTGTGCATCCTCTTCCCAATTTCCTGAAGGGTACTTGCCAGTGCAGCTGCAGGTCACAGACAGAGATAAGAGGGATACACCTAATTCTACAGTCACCATCAGTATAATTTCACAAAACCCACAGGAGCCCAAGATTGATGTGCATCAGATTGACCAAAGAATGGCCCAACTCACCGTTAAAGGATGCTTTAACTATGATGTGAGGCTCAGTTACTTTCTGTACCTATATCAGTGGTCAGCTGCATGTACACACACATTTTCTAATATGAAATCTCAAATATAATTTTTTATGTTTCAGAAAGTAAATAAGTATGAAGTTGTTGTTCAAGCAAAAGATCATGGAACACCATCTCTGTCCTCCACCACTGTGGTTACTCTCAATATTCTTGACACAAACAGTCATCCGCCAACATTTAGGGACAATAAGGCAAGGATTATCATTATCATTATTATTATTAAAGATGTTTTTAAAGTGATGCATGGTGTTAAAATTGAAACTGTTCTGCCTGTCCAGTACCAAAGTGAGGTGTTAGAAGCAGTCACCAAACATAATGTTTTGAGAGTTGCAGTAGATGACAAAGACACTCCTAAAACTCCTGGCTGGCGTGCAAAATACTTCTTCATTAAAGGGAATGAGGAAGAACACTTCAAAATTGAAACTGACCCGGAGACAAATGAAGGTATTCTGAGTGTCATCAAGGTAATTCTGCTTTTTTCAATCTTAAATAGAAACTTTTTTTACACTGTTCCAGGCTAAGAGTCCAACAAAATTTTAGGGTTTAGCATAAACAGCAGCCGCCCCGGTACATAAACATGTGTGCTTCTTTCAGGGCCAGGACTTTGAGAAGACCAGTTTTACCACATTGCAGATTGGAGTGCAGAATGAGGAACCCTTATTTATTTGTAAAAATGAATCACCCCTTAGCAGAAGTGCACTTCCACCTCCGCATTCAGTCAGTGTCACAGTCAAAGTGATTGATGCCAATGATCCACCTGAGTTTGAGAAAGGAACAGTTCACATACATCAGAAGGAAGAGGAGCCACCAGGAAAGTTGCTTTTCACTCCAAATGTCAAAGATGCCGACTCAAACGTATCACACATCAGGTTGGTGTCTACATTCTAAATCACTACAAACAGATCTCTGGTGATTCTTTCGATGTGTTAAAGGTCTTTCCACATCAGAGGTGAATTTTGTGTGATTTTCTTGCACAACAACAATAATTTTAAACCGATATTCTGTCAGTGAATCCTTGCACATCAAGCACACTTGTTTCTTTCCAACTTTTCCCCCAGTGATAGGAACACGTGGGACCAATCATCACGCAGCCTACTGGAATGTTGTTTCTATAAGCACATGGTGCATCAGTCGGCTAAACCTATCCAATTTCTTTACTAAAGTGGTGTACAGTATATATTTTACCTCAGACATAAGGTCAGGTGCTATTCCAGGCAGATCTTCAAGTGCTGTGGCAGCAGCAACAACTCCTCAAAGTGTCCCCAGGGCATCCTTATGTCGATCGGCCATAGTA